TGTTTACAAAACTTCCATCCATAGAAAAAAAAAATAAAATAAAAAAAGATAACACACTGTCTAATAATCTTAATTTCGTTGCTTATTTCCTTTTCTTTACCAGTTTAATTTAACTTCAATCTTTTTTGGGTAGTCTTTTATAAAAATAAGATTTCCTCACCAGATGGACACACTTTCTCTTTCCACTTTCCTCCCGTTGTGGATCTGTCCCGACTTCAGCAGCTTGAGGCTGTGCTTATTGTCGCCGGCAAGAAGAGATTCTCTTGGATCAATCAGGGACTTTGCGGTGTCCCTGAGATCAGCAAGACATACTCTTCCCTATCACCGTCTCTTCGGGATGGTGTAGGTCTGAATGGACCATCCAGTGGCAAAAGTATCAACTGTGATCTTGGAGCTCCGAGATCGCACGTCGTACCATCGTGACGTTAGATCCTTTCTTTTAGCTATTTTTTATATTGTTGATAATTGTAACTGCTTGTTAGTCGTACTGCTAATAGCTGGCTATGTAAATTCAATTAAAATGAATTATTATTGCAGTAATTGCATTTAATAGTAATATTATAGAGAAACTGAGATCTCAGAAGTGTTTAACAGGGAGAACAACCTATATAACTGCATGCCTAGTTAGATGGCAGCACCTAACTGATCATAAAAGGTTAAACCCAGGTGGACCTGCAGTTTAGACTTAAAGATATCCATAAAGATAGTGAAGGTAAAAACACTTAATTCTAGTAAAGTAGAAATGCAATAGTAAGGCTATCAAATAGTTGTTGCTTGTTCCTATTCTTTACAATTTTGTTCAATAAAGGAAATGGAACAGCAGGGTTTTTACTTATGTATACACTACTAAAACTCATTTTTATGACCTTTAAGTGGGTGAAATGTTACATCATAGGGAAATTTTTGAATCAAGTTACCTGAAATGGGCTAATTTACAGACTGTGTTCAAAAGCCAGCACTCTTATCCCATACATCTTCCTCAATCCATGCAACACTTCTTGGGCATACTCACACATCCTTCCTAATCTGCCTCCCCCCCCAATCCAATTCCTGACCAGTACAGCATTTCTTACTCACCCAAAGGTGCCCTTCCTGATTTATGCTCACTCTTCCCACAGGCCATCTCCAATCAGCGCAGCTCCTCTCACATATCCCTACAAGACCCATGCATTATTATTATTATCCATCCTAACTGTCATGTGCCTCACTTGGCCTGCACAGAATCATTAATTTACAAAATTACAACTGGCTTCCCAGGGGACAATTACAATTCAGATTTTAAATTCCAATAACTCTCACAGTCACATAACTACACTTTGGGAACTTGGCAACTGAACCACATTTATGACTGTTTGTATTATCTTGCAATTGAATTGTCCACATTACATGTTTTATGATATTTTGATTTTGATTTTATTTGATTTTATTGCATTTATATGCCGTCTATTCCCGGAGGGACTCATTTTTGCTGAAAATTGGAGTTTACTGCCAGTTTTCAGCAAAACCACTCCATTGTGAACCATTTATTTGCTTAATGACTATGGCATTTTCTTAGCAACTGCCACAAAAATTGTAAAATCATGTTAATCATGAATAATTTATGACTGTCAGATGTTACAACTGTAATGGGCAGACTCCATTATGGTCATAATTTGAGGACTACCTGCATTCCTTACTTTAGTCAGTTTGAACTGACTTTAGATGGCACTGCTTCATCCTGAGCATCTTATTGGAAATGTAATCAAATAGCACAACAGGCAAAAAAAAAGGTCCTTGGTGTGGTTGTTTACATATCTGCTTTCATATCTGTAATGTCCACTTTTTTGTGTATTATGGAGGACCATGCAAAACTCCTTTGATGCTCCTCCTTTGGTTTGAAAGGATACAGTCTAAAATATTGAGACATTCATTTCATATTCTAGGCACCCGGTAGCACTTCTTATGTAACCACACTTGTTCTGCTTATGGGAAATTGCAACCATAGATTACAGGATGACTTATATTATATATCTAATGTGTTTTATTACTAGGGAGGTAAATAGATATGACTTGACTTTGGCACAGACTCTTTTCTTCAGTGAAATCAACGTAGCTTTTACTTGCTTTTTAAGATTCTGGAAAGATTTCCTCTTGTGAAGAAAGCTTTCCTGTAAGTGATTGTACAAACCACCTGTAACTGCTTGTACAATCCACATTAATAATGATGATAGATGCAGTTTCACTGTTTTCAGATTTCTGTATTAGTTCAAAGGATGGACCTGGACATAATGAATGTTGGATAATTTATGCATCTGATAAGTGAATTGAGCACATGAGTTATTGATAAACTGGTTTGACATATTATTTTTAGTATGATGCTATGTGACACCACAGTAAAATGTAATGTGCTGGTCCTCAAGCTAGAAATTAAGATATATATTTTTTTATTTGAATTTCAGGAGCCAGAGGAAATACAACGCTGTGCGATACAAATATTTCTGACCAGCACCAATCTAGTAAATCCCATACAACATTCCCTGTTGGATCCCAGGTATGTTTCTCATTGAATCTAAGCTTTTCTGAAAGCAGATTTTATACCAACAAGAATCATATAAAAATGTTCACATGCTTCAGTTGCAAATGTTTGTAGATGTTTAATACACAACAATTCAGGGTTTTTGTTTGTTTTACTACAAGAATATGTGCTTGTATATGTATAGGGGGAAAGTTTCTCATTCTTTTACAAAAATAAGGTATGAATTTCTATACTGTTCAGGAAATATTGGGAATATTGTGGTCAGTTTATTGGGGGTATTGTGGTCAGTTTGAGTTGGTATAATCATAATAAGATATGAAGAAGATGGTAAGATTTCAGAAAACAACAATAAAGCATTCTCTTGAATTTAGAAAATACATTGTCTGTTGTAAATTTAAAGGAGCTGAAATTATTTATCTCAAAGAAAAGTTGAGTGCAGCTTTTAAAGCTGAAATAGAAATTGGTTTCATCTGTTTAATTATGATTTTTAATTTCTTTCCCTGCTAGCAATCAGGGGAAAGCATTTGTGTTTCCAAACAGGAATTATTCATATTTTTCCTGTGATAAAAATATTGCAAATAACATTTGTGCTTAGTTAACCATCATGTTCAAAAAGTCAATACATTTTATTCTGTGTCATTCATATGAAAATATTAAAAATATTTAAATTAAATAAATATATGAAAATGAAATAAATGTATAAAAATAAAAATGAAATAAATGTAGAAAAACTTATATATGGAAAGTAGCTGTTAATTCTTATTGTGAATGCATAGTTATGCTACACCCAACTGAAAAAGATTCTCCAGCAATCACATTCCCAGTCTTTAGCATCAGTATTGATCTATGAATAAGATAGAATTTTCCAGATTAGCTTTTGGTTTGTTTCTTCTATTAATGAATAAATATGAAGTGTTTCATTTTTCCTAATTGGTTTGGTATTTTGTAATCAAAAGAAGAGTTGCTAATATAGTTGTTTAATGCACTATAGCTGTAAGCTTAACAATGGTTGCATCTGCAATTACAAGGTATTCCTCAACTTACAACAGACCATTCAAACTTACACCAGCCTGAAAAAAGTGACATGATTGGTTTTCATGGCATTAGAGCATCCCCATGTCACTTGCTCAACATTCAGATGCTTAGCAACTAACTCATATTTTTGATGGTTGCAGTGTCCCAGGGTCATGTAATCAGATTTTGTGACTTTCTAACAAGCAAAGTCAATGGGAAAACTAGAATCAACTTAACTATGCTACTAATTTAACAATTAATAACACTGAACAAGAAAGGTTGTAAAAAGGAACAAAACTCACTTAATAACTACCTTGCTTAGCAACAGAAATGTAAGTTGATGACTAACTGTATTAACAGAGGATTATATATATTTTTCTTTCACGTGAGATTTATCGATTGGAATTGATAAAACACCCCAGAAAGTGAAGAATGTGTTTTAAAGTTTCCAATTTTTGCACTTAATTCTGTCTCTAAAAAGACAGATTCTCTTTAAACTCTTAGGTACAATTGCTGTCCTTGCATCCAGCTAGCCCGAACATAACTACACATAAATATACAGTATGTATAAATCTGATTGCTTGGGAGAATAATGGGTGCGTCTATAAACATTGCTGAATTTAATAGCAATTGCAATAGCATTTAGACTAATATACACTTCACAGTACTTTACAGCTCTTTCTAAGTGGTTTACAGAGTCAGTCTTCATTTTACAGACCTTGGATGGATGGAAGGCTGAGTCTAACTTGAGCCGGTCAGGATTGAATTCCTGACAGTAAGCAGAATTATCCTGCAATACTGCTTTCTAACTACTGTGCCACCATGGCTCCAACTAAGGTGGCAACATAATTAAATACTAATTTATATTTTTATACATTTTAAACTTTTAAATTATGTTTTATCAGTTATATTTACACCAAGTTGCATAATTTTTCAAGAAGTATATTTAATTTTTTAAAGATAATAAATAGAATTTATCCCTTTAAGATGCTTCTTTTCATTTCAGCAGTCTTGATAACCAGCCTGGTTAATTGGGGACAATTTCTGAAACAGTTACACTTTTAAAAATATTGATTAGTTTAATATTATGTCTCATCTTTGGACAGGGTATCTTAAATGAGTCACAAGATTAGATGCATTGGAAGAATCTGTGGCTCCAGTGAAATAATTGTTTCCCACTTGCTATATGTCTATTTTGTTATATGATAATCTGTGATTACTATGTTTTGTTGCAGCCATTGTTGACAGCTCAACAGTTAGCCTCAGCTGTAGCTGGAGTGATGCCAGGAGCCCCTCCAGCACTGAATCAACCTATTCTGATTCCTTTCAACATGGCTGGACAATTGGGTGGTCAGCAAGGTCTTGTCCTGACTTTACCTACTGCTAACCTCACCAACATCCAAGGGCTTGTAGCAGCAGCTGCAGCAGGAGGCATCATGACATTGCCACTGCAAAATCTACAAGGTAAAAAGTTATTGAATCTTCATCGTATTGATTTATTAGCACATAACAACATCTGTAAATCCAAAACCATATTTTGAAAAGTTACATTCCTTGATGCAGATTCACATGCTTGTTCCTTGATAGTTGTCTCTTTGATATAATTTATACTTTTAAAAGCTTGGATGGTAAAATTCATGCCTCATTTGATTCTTGTGTATATATTTATTTATGAACTTCAACCTTTGTCATTTTTGGCAATGACTGAAATAGCCAGAATTATAGAAATATGAAATCTAGTTTGAAAAAAGCATGTGCTATATAATGTGCTAACCTGTGGAAGTTCTCAGTAGATTCCCTTGTCTACTTGTGGAGAAATATCCACAGTCAGGCTTTCTTACAAATGCTTTTTATTTTATTAGGAAAATTTAATATTTCATTGTGTGGATTCAAGAAATGTGTCATGCAAAAACTAAGCCAGAAATAAGCTTTTGTCAGATTTTTTGCCCATTGGGCAGCAACTCTATTTCCTATGGATGATATGCCCTTGCCAAATTTCCTTTCTCCTTCTAGACCACCAACATCATTATGCTATCTGCCTATAGCTATAATTTTATAGTTTTGCCAACAAGCTAGGTTTATAGCTAGTCTCAAATCTGAAGTATATTTTGGGAGGAAAAAACCCTTCGATTTGTTTATGGACTTATAACAAAGAGAGACAATATTTCATAACAAGGGTCATTACAAAGAAAATTGCAATTACTTTCAGTTTCCTGATTCCTTCTTTGTATTTTCTTCTATCCATGGTTTCATTAATTGAAAAAACATGTATAATACTTGTAATAATACAGGCTTCTCAACTCGATGTTGAGGTTAGGGTTAGGGTCAAATATACCATTGTTGTAGATATAGACTCCGGCAGTTGCAACTGGAGGCACACCTAGGAAGGCTGACATTGGTGAAAACATTCGCGGTAGATTAAAGAGATACTGCATTAATCTGTGGAATAATGGTTTTTTTTTACAAATTTATTTTATAATCAGATGATGATGCGAGGAAATTGTGCAAATTTTTGAATAGTTAATAAATATAATACAATATTGGTATCAAGGCACTATGAATGGTTAATTGAGACATGCAAATTTCTTTTCCTAATGCATATTACACTTAACGAAGCAATATAACATACAGCAGGAATATTCAGGGATGATCCAATGTTATGTGTTCAATGTTTATTACACTTGTATGCCGCCCTATTCCCGAGGGACTCAGGGCGGCTAACAAANGTCCCTCTTTACCAATCTGAAAATCTGGTCACCTTAGCCTAGCAGGCCTTTCTGAAGTCTTGTGGGAGCCATAATGGGGTTCGTGGGGACTCCTGGAAGGGGCAGGGGAAGGTAAGGTTGTGAGCCTGGTGGGGATGGGGGGCGCAGCAAGCTCCGGGGAGGGGGAGCTAGCGAGAATTACCTGTAGGGAGGAGGAGGAGGAGGCTCAGTTGGGTCACAGGGCAGGCACCATTTGGCAGCTTAGGCAGGCAAGGCAGACAAAGCAGCTTAGGCAAGCTAGCCGCCCGGGAGGTGAGGAGTGACTGGGTGGTGGGGATGGGCAAGGTGAGCGACTGGGAACCAGTTTGGGGGAGTGGCAGGCCTGGTTCGCTGCCAATCCAAACTGGTAGGAATACTTACCAGTTACTTACAAACTTGATACTTACAAACCAGCAGATACCAAGCTTATCATTGAAGATGAATATAAACTTTGACAAAAGTTTGTCAAATGACTTTATGCGGAGACAATCCAAATGGTCTTGTTTGAATTACTTTCACAAAATAAAGCTCACTTGAGTTTTTGAAATTATCACAGAGAAAAAATCCCTTGCAATATATATTTTTCATACATCTCCTCAGTATGGAAGCATCAGAAAAGGAGATTGTACATATTGTCAGCCAATGAAGCTTGTGACAGGATCAGTGGGAGATGATACCAGCTCCACTCCACTACAATTCATCTTACAGCTTCTTTAAATCCCCCAGGAATAGCATCTGGTTTCATATAATGAAGTGGCTAGATATAGTAGTATTAAACCACAAAAAGTTATGTTCCTTATCCTTATGCATTTTCATATGAAGATTACATGAAAAGTGTTCGAAGACGTTCTTATCAGAGGTAAACTCATCCATAAAGTCTTGTAACTTAGTTTCTTAGACACTGAGTTACATTAGCATTTATTCTGATAGTTAAGTAAATTGGATTAAATTCCTTTAATTATTATACCATATATAAACTATGTATTAATATCTAATTCCTTGTCTGAAAACTGTGCCAGACATAATCTGGTTTTATTTTTGGAAAATTAGTTGATCAAATGCTTCAAATATTGATAGGCAATAGGTGATGGAAAGAATGCTAAATGCAAAAGAATTTCATGATTGTTCTGGAGAAATTCGGTTACTTCCTTCCCTGCAAGGACTCCAATTTGCCAATCTTTTCACTCTTCCCCTAACTCTAGCTACAGATTCTACCAGATTTCTAGTACAGCATCTTTATTTAGAATTTTGCTAATATTATCAGAGAAGGTCCTTCTGTGTGTACCAAGACTTCAGGGGTGGGTTTCTCGCCCCGTTCCAACCGGTTCGGTTGGAACGGGGCCGGCGGCGTCCTCATGCACGCGTGCAGTGCACGCATGCGTACTAGCGTCTGTGCGATGCTCCAGCTGCTCCTGGAGGATCGCGCAGGCGCTGTATGCATCCTGCGCATGCGTGGAGGCGCAGAATTCATCAAAACCGGGTAAGGAGCGGGCACGGGCGCACGGGCACGCGCGGGCGCAGGGGGGGCCTTCGCCGTTCCTGGAAGTTACTTACTTCCGGGTTCGCCGACCAACCAGATCGCAGGGACTGCCGCGAACCGGTTGAAACCCACCCCTAGATCTTAT